CACCAGAAAACAGTTTTACAATAAAATAAATCAAAGCTAAAAGTTTAAATTAAACACATAAAAATCGGCTGTTCTTTGTACACTAGCACCGATTACAGAAACACTTTTCCACGTCTCCGTTTAAAGGACAATATTGGTGCCAGTCATTATCACATATGTGATAGAGCTGGTTAAACACATTCCAAATATAATTTTAACACAGAGGTCATTGCTACGATAGCTGAGTAATACAGGTTTCCTGAGTCGGAAGTGACGAACGCCAAAGGAAAACACGAGTCATCTCTCTATATAACTGACTGATGTGACGAGTGATAACGGATATACGGCCGAATTTCTGCTCACTAATAATTCCTTCGAAGACCAAAAGTTGATATATAGGACTGTAAGAGGATACCTGACAATTCAATAAAGTAATTGAATGTCATTAGATAAGAGAACACGAGAAAAATAGAAATAGTCCGTACATTCCCTTGTTTATATTCATTCTATATCTTATAAAAACATGATAAACTGATTGCCATCGAGTAACGCGGAATTCAGTCTTGTAACATTGCTTTTAGCCCCGACAACAAATGGGGTGACGTAGTTAAATACAACGAAAACGAATATGTTTCAGGTGTCACGGTTGGTTGAGCAGTTGGCGCATGCGTTGTAGCCATAAATCCGCCTTTCACTCGACTGTCACTACTTTTTGGGGTTGAGATAATTAAATTCTGGAATGCTCAGGCGATTATGCCCGATTCCACTTGGATTCAAACGGGATTTGAATCCGGTACATTCTGGTCCTAATCACGAAACCATATAGGCAAACTGTTCAAGAACGTTTTTGCAAACACCATGAGCAATAACACGTCAACTGGTGGACACAATAGTCTTTCTATATTGCATGTAACAATCCACTAGTAGTAAAATATAGCCAACTTGGGGTTTAATCGGGACTGTCTTAACAACATTATAGGCCCCCGGGAAGAGCAGTGTAATGTGGCTCCTACAGAAACAACCACTCACAGGAATAACAAGCGGTTGTCATGCAAGATACGTATACATTTGCAAGAGAGTTAGCGACGGCGGAAGATCTATATGTTCTTCTCATTACCCCAATGCTTCAAAACAAATCTGTTTTAAAAATATAGCCTTTATCCAGTTTACAAGGCTTTTGGAAAATCGTGCATATAACTCTAAATTAAAACATTGGCTCTAAAGGGTCCACAAATCTAACATATACATGAAAGGCAGGGGATATAACTCAAAACGAAAAGTCCAATGCTCGAAATAGTGGTTTTGCGAGGGCCACAACATTGGTATATGTATCACATGTTTCACCACCATTTGCGTAAAGGGGAGAGGCCATTTGTTCGGGAAGTTTTGGCCCAATTTTCACGAAATTCGAACTCATACGTGATTATGGAACGACGCAGATAAATTGAGGGTCTACAAGATACAAACATGATTTTTCGTATTATCCGGGGCAATAATCCAAGATGTTAAATGCCGAAATCGACCTCTTTATATGCATTAAGTTTCATCACCAGCGGTTGCCAGGCAAGATAGGCCCACATTTTGCAAGAGACAGACAGAGAACAAATTAAAGAAAAAGTGATTTTATATTCTTAAAAAATGTGACGTCTAGAGGGTCCACAACCATAGTATTACATACTTTAAAGTTATTTGCGTACAAGGGGCGGCCATTTTGTTGGGCACTTTCGGGCCGATTTTCGCGAAATTTGAACTCAAACACCATTATCGTGTAACGATGATATATTTAAACGATTTTTATACTTGGAGAGCTCTGAAGGGTTCACAACCTAAAATCATGATTTTTTCGTACAATCAGAGGCCATAATCCAGGAAGTTACATTCCAATTATGTGCGAATATCGCCAGGAACCACGATCTTTGGGATATAGACACACATTTTAAGTTTCATCAAAATAAGATCAAAATTGTGAACTCTATAGGTTCCACAGCCTTAATATTAATACTTTAACACTATTTGCGTACATGGAGCAGCCATTTTGTCAGGCACTTTCGGGCCAATTTTCACGGAATTCGACCTCAATCGACAGTATTGTGCAACGGTAATATATTCGAACTTTTTTTTTTAAATCGGATAAAACTTTTGACCTCTGGAGAGACCATAATCTAAAAACGCGATTTTTCGTACAATCAGGGGCCATCATCCGAGAAATTAGGGTCCGATATGCGTAAATATCGAAAGGAACTGAGGTCGTTGGGTTATAAACACACATTTCAAGTTTCATCCAAATGGGATAAAAAAAATTGTGACCTCTAGAGTGTCCACAAGCTAAAAACGTGATTTTTCGTACAATCAGGGGCCATAATCCATGAAGTTACAGTACGATAAATACCAATATTGAAATGAACTGAGATCTTTTGGAGATAAACCTATATTTCAAGTTTCGTTAGAATTGGAAAAAATGTGGGCGTATAAAAATTGATAAAATTTTGGACGTCTAAAGGGTCCACAAGCTAAAAACACGATCTAAAAACACGATTTTTTTATATACAATCAGGGGAAATAATCCACGAAGTTACGGTCCGACACTCGTTCGAGATTCTTGGGATACAAACATGTATTTCAACTTTCAATGTCATCTGGGGTAATTCTGCATAGGCAGGAAGGGTGATACATGTACGCTGAAGTTGAATTAAATCGTCAGTTTTGGTCATATCACCCTTGGGTCCCCCGTTTTGTCGTTCTTATCCGACATGGAAGGGATTTCGCGTTAAGTTAGTGTTATATTCTATTGGACCAATAGTGAAACTTTGAAAAAAAAACAGCGGCTGCCAGGCAGGATACGTCCATATTTTCGATAGATGGATAGAGAACAAGCTAAAAAGAAAGTGATTTTTCCTACAATCAAGGGCCATAATTCTTGAAGTTACAATTCGATATGCGCAAATATCGAAACGAACCAAGATCTTTGGGTTATAAACATGCATTTCAAGTTTCATCAAAATCGGATTACAGTTGTGACCTCTACAGGGTCCACAACCTTGATATACCATAATTTTACACCTTTCGCGTACAAGCGGCGCCGTTGTGCGGCAGTTTTAGTTTGATTTTCAGGAAATTTGAACTGAACCTTTATTATGGTGTGACGGTCTTATATTCTTACGATTTTTAAAATCAGATAATAACTGTGACCTTCAGAAGGATGAAACGCTAAAAAAGGCGATTTTTCGTATAATCAGGGGCCATACTTCAGGAAGTTACGATCTGATATGCGACAATATCGAAGGGAACCAAGATCTTTAGGTTATAAACATGCATTCAAGTTTCATCAAAATCAAATTAAAATTGCTACCTCTACAGGGTCCACAACCTTGATATACCATATTTTTACACTATTCGGGTACAAGCGGCGGCCATTTTGTCCAGCAATTTTGGTCCGATTTTCACGAAATTCGAACACAACCTTCGTTAGGGCGTAACGGTGATATAATAATACGTTTTTTTTAATCGGATAAAAATTATGATTTTTCGTATAAACAGGGGCCATAATCCATGAAGTTTCGATCCGATACATGCCAATATCGAAAGCAGCCGAGATCTTTTGGGGATAAACCTATATTTCAAGTTTCGTCAAAATCGGACAAGAATTGTGACTTGTAGAGTGTCCACAAACAAATTGTGGACGTCCGGACGGACAGGGGCGACGAAAATATACGTCCACATGAAAATGTGGGCTTATAAAAATTGTATTTCGACAAGGTTCTTTCATCATTAGCCCAAAAAACCCAGAAAATTTGAAAAATGTATGGTTGAACAATTTGCAGTCATAGTGGTGCTAACGACGCTTACTTTGCTAAAATCGTTGCATAACACCTTAGGATTGACTGAAAAAGCCCAGCAGATTTGAAAAATTCATTAAAGTAGCCTTTAGTGTTTAGAAGGTTTCGATGACAATGGCAGTAACTCATCGAAATGTCATTGAGCGACTACGGTTGCCCCTTAAGACTATCTGAACAAATCTAGCAAACTGGAAAACAGAATCTGACCTATGGATGGAGTGTTTACAAGAGTTATGGAAGGTCGGCTGGACATGGGTGACGACAAGGAACAGTTTGTTAAGTTCTATATGCAATTAGATACACAGTTACAAAAGGAACCAAGTTTGATAGCTACCATCTTCTAAGACTCTTCCCATAACAGAAATTGTACTCTTTGACTCTTTGTAGTCAACATTCGTGTTCAGTTCATTCCAAAACGTCGTAAATTATGGTTTAACAATTCTTTTGACTATTTCCATAGAAACGTGGGTACCCTGATTAACATTAAAACCAAAAGGTTACATTATGAGATCGACGTTAGCTAGATCTGAAGTTTTCAGAATCTTGAACAGAATTACAATTCTATGTAATAAGATTAAAGGTAGAACGAATGGTAGAATCTTTAAAACAGAAGACAGTACATATCAACCTAATCAGTATGTTCAACACATAATTTTGAAAGTCCCTGAGAAACAAATTTGATACAAGTATGAAGAAGTAGGAAAAAAATCCAACTCATTTAATAAAACAGCCGTTCCCAACATTAATTCAGAGTCCTACATTTGACCATAAGATGTAATTAAGTATTGTTTGTTCTTTTTAAATTTATTTGCATTGATGAACTTCGTGTTTCAAACACCTGTAAGGAAAGACAATCTCCCCACCTCTGCAGTCAATCATATACAAATATAATCCTGTTGAATACAGTTTGATGTCTTAAGTTACAGCTCAATACCAAATCGGATAAAAATAAAAAAAGGTATTATATCTAAATCGCACGCCAACTGTAATAGAAATTATTATTATATTCTTATCTGCGTTTATAGAATTACATGTCACGATAAAACTCACCAATCATTAACAACAGTTTACCTTCAAGGGAATCATCATTTGTGGTACATGGCATATTACTGGCTGGGAGGTAATAATGACATTAAAGAAGCGATGACGTGCTAGCTGATTGACAGCTAGAGATATATATTGGAGTAAATGAAATGAGAAGGACTGTACCTTGCTTATCAAGACAGCAGTTAGAACAGACAATTATTATACCTGCTAGTTGATCGCATTCATTTTAACGGTAAGTTAAAGTTAATTTTTTTTATCAAACCATTTTCAACTTGTACTTTATGCATAGTTTATGTACGGTTAAATTGTTGGGTTTTCTACATTAACTTGTAATCTTATAGAAACCGATAGAAGTGCTTTTTAGCGTAAGCCTTACTCAAATAACATAAATTAATGAAGTTAAGTTTAGTTGCTACTATTTCATAGAATTGCAAGTTATTGAATAAGTATCTTAATTCATTTAAAATGAATTCGAATCGACTCCACTAATCAAAGTTTCTTATTAAAAACTTTTTTTCAAGTAATAAAACATTACGAAAAGACATTAAAGTGCTCGGTAACAATCTAAATGATAGTTATGTGTTTTGGGGACAACGTGTAACAAATATAAAGAATCAACCAGTATCTTAATAATAGCAGTCTTTTTGATTAGTGTCTTTAACGTGCGGGGTTTTCCTGGTTTTCGTGTTAAATTGTAAATGTAATTCAAGCAACCAAAGTTGTACTTTACGTTTGACAATGAAACACTGTTTGTTGACATAAATAGTTATGTACGGAAGCGAGAATGAATCCGAGTCAAATTGTCAGTGGAGAAGTCGTTTTCCGCTTTCGTTCGTGTCCGGTACTTGTGGGTGGTATTACTTGTTTCGGTAACTGTTTACTGAGACGCAATGAAAACGCATCATTGGTTTGCTTGCGAGATACAATGTGGATTTTGACACGAATGTTGGTGGGACACAAGAAGATAAAAAAAAACACGGATGACATAAACACTTTACAGTGAAACGTAGGTCGTCAGTAACGGCGTTGAGTCTAAATAGATCAAAAGTAAGGCGGTCAAGCACATAGTGCAGCAGAGGGTAGTTAGCATTGATAGACCTATGCGGGAAGATAGCGGCGTGCAAGTCTGCAAATATGCCCGGGTGGTGTGGATGTCTTGCCGGGGCTTTTTCAAAAAACACACTATATATATTCCGTATGTACCATAAAATCGCGATTATTAACATTCCCATTATGTCGAATTTATTATTTTATTGTGTGTGTTGAGAGAATCGATCTTTTTTTGTACGTTTAGGTGATCAAAAGGAACACGGTTTGTTATCATTAATGTCATCGTTGTGATCTGATGTTGGTACACCCAGTATTGGTTGGTTAATGTTTATCTCTGAAATTAAATAATCATCCAAAAGTTTTCATTGCATCTCGCTATATTTTGTTTGGGAGCGAGTTAAGTCGATGGAAACGCAACTCTTTTGAGAATAGGCGCCAAAACCGGGTCCCATTCCGCTTATTTTATCCATTTTCTGTCTTGTATTCTACGTGGAGATTATCACTGGTGGTTTTTTCGCGATCCTAAAAGTTTAAAACTGTTTACCGGACTCGTGTAAAGATTCTTGGTGATTTTAAAGAAGCCACTCTTAGTATTGTAACAGACCGTTAGCGCTAACCACTGCGCATACTGCATTTTATCGTTTGGTGGAAATCATCACATTTATTAATCCGGGACTAAAATGTTTTAGAATGAATGTGGAAAACATTTAAGAGCACGTATATTATTCTAGATTCAAGTATACTGCGTTTCAAAATCATGGTATAACTTTTCAAGTGTTTGTTGCTTCCTATGTTTCTATTGCTTGGCTATTGGTTGGGACTGAATTTATTTCTTATATTTGCTCGTTTAAAGGTCCCTTTAAGTGCTATGGGGTCAAATACTAAACACCCCCCATCAGCATTCAGTTGTCCGTAACAAAATCAAACGTCGTTTAAATGAAAATTCCAGTGTTGAATTACAGGTACGTAAATTAAAAGGGCCAATATGGATAATTACACTGAAAGCGTAAGGAATAATCCGCCGTATAATCCACCGGCATCACACAGTATAGTATTTAATCCTTCAGATTAATATTTGCGGGTTAAGGTGACAAACTCAAACTCCGAAGACCCGACGACGATAAATCTACTCCATTTTATTCAGTGGATAAGGCGCTGGTGTACTAACCAAGATGTCCCGGGATTTGTCTGTTTCTCGGATTTATTTAGCGGTTTCCTCATAGCACGCTGCAGGACCCCCCAACCCTATTTAATATTACAAATCTTACAAATGCCAAAATTTCTTCCTTTTTTTACCGGCTCGATCACCTAATCTCCAAGAGTGCTGTAGGGGCGTGACATGGAATATAATAATATCGGCTGGTTTTCAAATATTTTATTAGCAGCTACTGTTTACCAAATATCTTAATTACAATGGTTGTTCACTAAATACCTGAGCTACAATGAACCTTTTTACAGAGACATCTTTTTCTCTCTAGATAAATAAATGTAGAACGCTATACTTTTTATCATCAGTACAATATGAGTATTTATTTATATAGGTTTAGCTTTTTTATGCATTAACGGTTATTGCAATCAATATAAAAAAAACCTAAAACTAATTTGTATATGATAGTATTTAAGAGACTCAAAATCCTTGGCGATCATCGGACAGTTGTATCACTCAGGGGTAACAACTGTGGGGATACTTTTGCAAAAATGCTCCAATTGAGTTGAGTAAGGACATTTTTTGACTCGATACTGAACAGTCCTAAACAAATTAACATGTAAGTTGCTAGCTATATCGTCATTTACAAAGATAAGCAGTCTTTGTATTGCAGGGATACTGCCATTTACCAAGATGCCCACACCACCTCCAATATAAACCATGACATGTATCTTGTTTAGCCATGCATCATTTAATCATCACTTAACCTTTATTTTTTGGCGTATTTTAATTTGCCGCCACAATAACTATTCGGTTGTACGATCTAAAGAAACGGAATCCATTTGGGTTTTTTTATAAATAACTCTTTCTAAACTTTAGAAACAACTGTAATTTTTGAAAAGGACACAATTGGTTAAAATAATACTGGTATTCGATTAGATCACATCATTACGTTTTTCATTTTAAATCGGAAATTGAATAGCAATAGAACCAACACATCTCCTATCCTATACACAGGGATTAAATCTAACAATTTAAAAGATATTGTTGCCGTTGAGCAAATTATATTACGTGCCAGCGATAGTAAAGGTTAAATAGATTTTAAATTTAACTTTAAAAGTAATGAAGATCTTTGCTATGGTTGATCCGTAACGTCTACGCGAAAGATACAAATGTGACGAAGTTATAGTTATAGTTCGAGAATGAAGACTACTGCGGTATTATACAGTCAACTTTCAGCTTTTTTATAATTGCCCTGAAGACGAGGAGTTGTAGATTTAAAGGAGCTAAATCGCTAATATTTGGGACCTAGAAATTGACAAAAATGGGTCTCAACGCATATAATAATGTAATATGAATGTATATAAACTGATTTACATTCAATCGTTTCTGTATTTACTGTAATTTCTAATCAGTTATGTTCGGCGAAATACGCCAGAAGTCTAATGTGAATGGCAATCATTAGCGTCTGGTTTTTCCAATCTACACCGATGGTATTTATTGCGCATGCTCTCCAGATAAGAATATAGCGTCACCATTTGACATGACTTGTGGAATATGTCTAGCCCTGTTCTCTGAATCCCTTGTTCCAAATGGCGATGAAACGCATTGTGGTACACGATTCGTGTACCAATGGTAAAATGTTTATTTTGTCTTGAATATTGGATATCAGAAACCCATCTTTTCCCCGTAAGATCACAAGACCAATGTTGATTTGAACTGACAAATAATTCATGTTTTCAATGTCAAAGATATTTGATGATATTCAGTTAGAGACTTAGCACTTTAAAACTGTAAGAGAATATTAGTTCTTACTCAACATCCACACTAAGAACTACACTTTTGTCTATGCCACATGGTTTATAAGTCGATTAAGGCTAGTTTTGGATTTCATGCGGCGACTTTCTCTCTGGATAGGCTACACGATTTTCGGAAGGTCATGAATAATGTCTAATAGTCTTCTAGTTTTTGTTTTAGATTAGAAGCAGAATTGAAACTTGGAATTTATATGGCGAGGACAGTAGTGTTGCAATTAGTATGACTTCATAATAATATAACGGTAAAAACAAAAAGTCGCCATTCTGGTGTTGTGACAATCGGTTTTCAGTGTGCTTGGACTGATATACTTTTGTAAGTTCACGCCTCCAGGGACATTATAAGCAAGCTGGATGTCGACCGTGTACCTAATATTACTCTCCGATTCAATCTGTAATAACAACTGATCTCCTGTAGTCGCGTAGCTTCCCAAATTTGCACGTAGACATTACGGACCAACCATAGCAAAAAATATATACTTTAAAAATATTTTTGCATCAGTTTATCCCAATGTAAAATTTCTGGATGGTTACATTGGCATTTAAAATAGCTATTACATTCATATTTTTTTTGGACAAAAACGCGGAGTGATGGCCGAGTAATCTTCCTCTTGAATGCCGTTTACACCTGAGACTTTATTCTTCAGTAGACTGGAAACTTTTAACTTAATTTCTGTACAGACTAAGTCTAGTCTGAACGAAGATATGTTGACACTGATTGACACAATTGTTCACGTGACTTAACTATTGAACACTTTATACATCACTCCATTCATTGTTTCACTGACGGGACTAAAAGCCTGGTCATTTGACTTCTGAATTGAACAACTTTATTTGTGTGACTTATAAAATAAAAAAAGGCAGTGATTGTCAATCTATCTATACGTATGAACTCCTTCACAATCCTTACTCAAGCATTGGCGTTGTAAAGGCATTGGCCGGTTGGCAAAAAACATAATTTTCGATTTGATTTGATTTGACTAAACAGTCAGATCGGACATGTTTAAATAAAATAGTTACAAACATTGAGATTGAGACCTATCAGAGAAACATCTGACAAGCCACATCCGAGATATAGACGTTTTAGTTTGTGGTGATTAACATACACTGCCAATGGCAGACTATAATTTGATTATGGTATTATTACATAATACCTCTTTAATGGTAGATTATGAAATTCAATATTCAAATTTTGCTGATTAATATTCTTTCCATTAGATG